GCAAATAAAGCTAATCTTAGGATGTTCCTAAAATAACTCAGACATATTTATTCTCAAGAAAAGACATAAAATGAATCATAATGCAAAAAAGGTCCCAAAAATGCAACACAGAGAGACCAAAAGTTAGAGACAGGAGCACAGCGAGTGTAGCAATTCACTCAACTTTACTAGATCTGTGTTCAGCAGCCACATTGGCTTCATGACTCTCTCTGTTTCCAGTGGTTATGTCTGTGTCACCTCTCCCACCTGAGCCACAATCCCCAGGCTCTCTTTCATTTTTTTAAAAAAGTATTTACAGTTAGGCATAGTGGTATCTGTGTGCATCATGTGCACTTCCATGAGGGGCAGAGTGACGTTAAAATTGTATGTGGCTGGGCACGGTGGTATACACCTTCAGTCCCACCACTGTAGCTCCGAGGCAGCGGATCAGAACAAAGCAAAACAGCAACAAACTAACCCTGAAGAAACAAAAAGAGTTGGGTATGTGTAGTGTCACACACCTGTGATCCTGGCATTCAAGAAGCAGAGGATGGCAGATCACTGAGTTCAAGACTAGCATGGTTTACATAGAGAATTCCAGACCAGCCAACGGCTACATGTGAAACCTTGTCTTTTGTATGTCATATGTGTTAGGCTGGGGAGATGGCTCTGGTTAAGAGCACTTGCTGCTCTTACAAAGGACCAGATTAGACAGCTCACAACCACCTAAACTCAATCTCTGGGGGATTGATGTCATAGCTGGCCTTGGTGGGCATCCACACACTTACAAATAAAGAGGGGGAAAAATCAAGGGCTGGTGAGATAACTCAGTGGGTAAAAGTTCTTAATGCCTAGGCTGATGAGCTGTGTTCCATTCTGGAACCCACATAGTGGAAGAAGAAAACTCCCACAGATTGTCCTTTGACTCCAACAAGTTTGTGTGTGTGTGTGTGTGTGTGTGTGTGTGTGTGTGTGTGTGTCTGTCTGTCTTTCTGTCTGTCTGCTGTCTGTCTCTGCCTCACACACACACACAAAATTAATGTAATACTTTTTTTTTTTAAATAAAAAAGAAGTGAAAGGAAGGTGTATATGTGTTTGGTGGAGTCTGAGGTTTAACTGTGATGAGGGGTGAGGAGTCTGGGTGCTTACACCCCACCTCTGCCACTCTGCCTTTGGGCTACCCGGGCCCTTGACTTTCCAGCTGAAGGGACCTCCTGCCTTCAAGTGCCAATGCAGCGTAGGAATTTACTTGTTCTCCCAATGCAGAATGTTGTAATTCAAAATGGTTTTGGTGAGAGAATGAAACCTCTGAAATAGATTTTTCTAGAAATAGATTCTTATAAATTGTAATTATTGTCTGCAATAGCACTCCTACTCAGATAGTTAGAATTCTGTGGGACTCAGTAGGTTTATTTCATGCCTCCGGCACAGCAGTGTGGTACATCATGCCCGCTTCTCATTTGTGTCTTCTCATTCTGTATAACTGAACAAATTGTTCTCAGGAAAAATATGAATAGATTGAGAGAAGTTTAATTCAGATTCTGAAAATCATGTGTTTGTATGACTCAGTATAAGGAATGCATGTACAATATTTTGTTGCAGGTAACAGTGCATGTGAAAGCAGCCCTTTGTGTTTCTCGATGAGGAAACACACGCAGCAGCTTAGTGCATCCCAGCCCTTAATGTATACTCTCCAATGGTTAGTGTTACACTGTACGGATTTCACCTCAATTTTAAAAGCAAAACAAGACAAAAAGTTCCTGGGGCTAGTGGAGTAGAAGAACCTGCTTAACCCCAAGGACGGCTAATCTCTAGGCCTCCAGGGCTTTCCTGTACTTTCTAGAGCATTGCAATAAGCAGAAGGATGTTTGTCATATTCAACATTTCTGGATTATTGGCAGCACGTTGCCTAAGACACCATATTGCTGTAGTCAGAAACTCCCATGTCAGCATTCAAGTTTTAAGCTTCACATTCATGTTTCTAACAAAACATAGAGAGGGTGTGTGTGTGTGTGTGTGTGTGTGTGTGTGTGTGTATATGGGTGTGTGCACATGTGTGTGCTGGTCTCCAGGAATGATGACAAGTCAGGCTGGTATTCTGGCTAGCTAGCTTCCTATGCCACCTGAATGTTTCAGGTCACCTTAGGAAAGTCCAGAAGCTGGACTGGGAGTCTCTGCTGCTGTAAGAGGCACCACAGGGCTCTTTCTGCCTCCCAGGGTTTATCCTCTGTTGTATCTGTTTTCTGTTTCTACATAACAAACGTGACCATGCCTACCAAGTAGCTTAAAACCACACCTGTGTATCATCTGTAAGGTAGGCCAGCGCAAACCTGCACTCAGTAAACCACTAAGATAAAAATAAAGACATTGCAAGAGCTATGTCCCTTTTTTCAAGGCAGTGGTTCTCAGCCCGTGGTCAAAACCCCTTTTGGGAGTGTTGAATGACCCCCTTCACAGGGGTCGCCTAAGACCATCTGCATATCAGATACTTACAATTCATAACAGTAGAAAAATTACACTTATGAAGTAGCAACAAAATAATTTTATGGCTGGGGATCACCACAGCGTGAGGAACTATATTAAGAGGATGAAGCATTAGGAAGGTTGAGACCCACTGCTCTAGAGTAAAGATCATTTCCTTCCTTCGACCACTTTCCAGAGGCTGCTATGTTCCTTGACTAGGGGCATCTTCCTCCATCACCTGCAGAGTTCGAAGTTGGAGTCTCTTCTTACACTGCGTAGCTTTCTCCTACTTAGTCCTCTGATCTGCTCTTGAGTTTTCTTTTCTCCAGTGTTGGGAATAGATAGAATCCAGGGTTTTCTCCTCCTCTTCTTCCCTCCTCTTCCTCCTCTTCCTCCTTTTAATTGTTTTTTGTTTGGTTTGGTTTAGATAGAGTCTGTAGCTCAGAATTCTGCGTGGATCAGGCTGGCCTCAGATGGAGAGACGTGCTTGCCTTGGATTCCTAAGTGCTGGAACTAAAGGCTTGCACTCCTACCCCCCTCTCAGTTTTTTCGTTTACATTTAATTTATTTATATGTGTAGATGTGGGTGCACATGTGTGGAATCAGCGAGCAGCTGTAGAAGTCAGTTCTCGCCTTCCATCACATGGGTTCTGGGATTGAACTGGTGCTGTCAGGTTGACACCAGCAGCCTTTACTCACTGAGTCACTGTGCTAGCCCCTGTCACTGTGCTAGCCCCTGTCACTGTGCTAGCCCCTGCTACTTTTAAGGAGCCCTGTAATTCCTTCATTTTTACTTAGTCATCCAAAATAATCTTCCTGTTTTAAGGTTAACTGGTTAATAAACTACAACACACTGTGACATTTTCATGAGTTAGGACATCCACAAGTAAGAAACTGTACTTCAACCTCTGGTCTCTCCACACACACACACACACACACGCACACACACACATCCACATACATTTCAAATAATAGTATGATTCTTGCATGCCTTTTCCATTTGTGGAGATTATATTGATTAAGCATCTTAGGAAGTAGTTATATATATGTACATGTCTATCACACATACACACATACTGGTCTTTTGGGACAAGGTCTTGCCATGTAGCCTTGACTATCCTGGAACTTGCTATGTAGACCAAGCTGGCCTCAGATTCATAGAGATCTGCCTGCCTCTGCCTTCTGAATTCTGAAATTAAAGATGTGTGCGACCATATCCAACTTAGACTATATTTTTAGATTATTTTGATTTTGAGGAGTATCAGGGGCATCATAGTAGCAACTGACCTGAAAAAAAAAAAAAAGTCAAAATTCCATTTATCTCCTGTCTTCAAATGTGCTATAGTTTTGTTTCTTTTTCAGTATCAGAAAAACAAAAGGTATTTCTCTGGAAAATTAAGCTCTCCTTTTAAGTATCTAATAATAGAATTCTAAATGTGACTAATCCCAATAGATAGAACTACTGTGTTTACTTGGTAAGAATTTAATTTAACTGATAGCACTAATCAGTTTTTTTTTTATGTTACATGATATATTTTTATTTTAGCTCAAGCATGTTATATTAGATGTGGTGTGCAGTTTTTATTTGTAGTATTATTTTAGTCTTCATACATATATATATTTAATATATATTTATATATATACATATTATATTCTTCTCTAATTTATTGCATCCAAAGCAGTTTCCCCTCCTTCCCCCCTCTTCTCTCCCCTCAGACCCTCAGAAAAGAGCAGGTCTCTCAGGGATCACCCAAACAGCATAACAAACTACAGTAAAACCAGACATATACCATTACATCAAGGCTGGACAAGGCAACCCAGTAGAAGGGAGTGGGTCCTACAAGTAGGCGAGAGAGTCAAGGACAGCACCCATTCCCTGTTAGGATTTCCACAAGAACACCAAGCTATTTAGCCATAGCATGTATGTAGAGGACCTAGGTCAGACTTTACAGGCTCCCTGATCTCTCAAGGTCCCATGAGTTCTGGTCTGTTGATTCTGTGAGCCATGTTCTTAGCAATTAATGGGGGCAGATGCAGAGTACTACAGCCAAACACTACTAATGAGTGATCATTTAAAAATTGCAGTCTGGGGCTAGAGAGATGGCTCAGTGATTAAGTGCACTCGATGCTCTTCCAGAAGTCCTGAGTTCAATTCCCAGCAACCACAGTGTGACTCACAAGCATCTACCGTAATAGTATCAAATGCCCTCTTCTGGTGTACAGACAAACATGTAGACAGAGCACTATATACATAAATAAATCTTTTAAAAATAAAATACAGTCTGCAGCTGGGGAGACTGATCCGTGGTTAAGAACACTAGCTGCTATCTTAGATGACCTGGGTTCAGTTCCCAGCACCCACATGGTAGCTCACAACCATCTGAACTCCAGTCCCAGGGAATCTGACATCCTCTTCTAGCCTCCAGATTGCAGCAGGAAGTCAAATACTGCACGGACAAACATGCATGTAGACATAAAGAAAAGCCACACGCATCTTTCTAAAGTCATGGCCCATGTTTATTTACTGTAATGGCTAAAGCCCTTTTTAAACTTTGCAGGGAAGTGTGACTGCCATGACAGTGTTTTTCCCCTTGGATACTGCTAGACTTCGGCTTCAGGGTAAGTATTGATCCAGTGCATTGATCCTTTGATGTTGGGAAGAGTTTTCTACTACATACTGCACCAAGATAAGGATATTCTGTCTACACACTGCTGTTGTCCGTTTGCTTGCTTGGTTTTGTGATAGAATTATATATAGCCCATCTGCCTTCAAACTCACTATGTAGTCTAACTCATCCTCCTGCCTCCACCTCTGAAGATCTTGCATTATAGCTATGCACCTGACTTAAATATTTGATTCCTCATCCTTCTCTTTCTGTACTGGGGGTGAACAAGCTTTGTACAGCAACTAGACCAGTGCTTGGCCACTGAGTGCTCACCGCCACATTGTTCTCCAAGGAGAACTATGGCAACTCTAGTTAAAGTAAACTAGAGGGTCACCGGTAGAAAGTTCCACAGTGGGAACTCCCCAGTGTAGTCAGAGAGGTCAGAATACTAAGTGTATAGGAGCAGTTTCTATTATAAACTGACTAGCGATTACTCAAGAAACAGTCTTCAATACCAAGGCCCTGCAGGCTCTTAGAAGAGAAAAAGGGTGGCCTGGAGGGTTAAGTCAAGGGGACCAGAGACGGGTGAATTTCCTCACACTAGCCAATGATGGCATGCAGCTCTTTTACTCATGGCAGCACCCCAAGACATCTGCCCTTTTGAAATCCGTCTCACTGATTCTATGATGTAGCAAGCCCCCACGTGAAAAAAAAAAAGGTATTTTTTTCTTTAGCAGTTATTAGAAAGACAGGAGGGAAAAGTACTCTCTATGCTTACATGTGATAGATTTCTATATTAGGGCTGTACTGCATGATGGGTGAGTGGGCAGTGGAATTGCGACTGCACTTACACCACTGGTGTCTGGGCACTGCAGTGTGATGTCCGCCAAGCAAGTCCAAGCAGGGTTCACCTTGGAAACCAAAATGTCTTAAGAGAGTCAGCCCCAAGGCTGGGTACTGCCAGGCTTGGTAAAGGAATCAGTGCTGGGACCGAGTGAGGAGCTGCTGCAAGGAAGAGACACAGCAGGGAGGCTGCCTAGCCAGCTTCATTCAGCTTTCCTGATTTTCCACACTATCATTCACACGAGGCTGCCCCCTCTTGGGGACATCAGGGCCTGATGAGAAGGACGTAGTCTGATGAGAAGGACTTCTTCCACTGCCCTTTGGCTACCAGCCTTGAGTTTCTTTGACAAGTCATAGTGGATGAGCCTTAGCATTAGCCATTTCTAATCTGAGAGACCAAAGGGCTTCTTACATTTATAATCTCAAGTCACTGCCACTCTTTCTACAACCCCATGGCTTTTGCAGTAGACAGTTGGACAGGCTTCACATGTGCTAGGCAAGTGCTTCTCTTGAGCTCTGTCTCCAGGATGACTTTTGAGGCTTAAACTGGACATTTTTAAGGGAAGAAGGTTTTCTAAAGAGGATGGAAACTAGGAAGCAGTGGAGACAAATAACCACTTCCTGCTCATCTAGAAATCTCACCTTAACCTGTCTCTAGCACTACAGGGTTTTGCATTTTGCTATAACTCTTTTTCCCCTCTCCTATTTTCTTTTCATCTTGAAATTATAAACCAATGCCTCTTAGAGAGTTTGAAAACTAACTCAAAACACTTTGCCTAATGGTTGTGGTTAGAATTTTTAGATAGGCAATTATTTATATGATTCACAAATCAAAATACATAGAAAGGAGTACTATACAGGGAAACCTTCAATTGACCTTCACCATAGTTAACACTGCAGTTTCTTTTTTTCTTTTTTTCTTTCTTTTTCTTTTTTTTTTTTTTGGTTTTTCGAGACAGGGTTTCTCTGTGTAGCCCTGGCTGTCCTGGAACTCACTCTGTAGACCAGGCTGGCCTCGAACTCAGAAATCTGTCTGTCTCTGCCTCCCAAGTGCTGGGATTAAAGGCGTGCACCACCACTGCCCGGCAACACTGCAGTTTCTTGATATCTTCATCACTAGGAAGATCTCACTCTTTTGTCTCTTAGTTTTAAAAATTACTTTTAATTGTATGTATGTTGTGTGTCTGTTTGGGGGTATGTGCACATGAGTGCAGGTGGCCTCAGAAGCCAGGAGCTTTGGAATCCCTGGAGTTCAGGTGATTGTGAGTCACCTGATATGGGTGCTGAGCCATCTCTCCAGCACCAAGATTTCTCAACTAGGACATCCTTCAGAATGGCAGGTGTAGGGTGGTCATTGTGTGCACACCTGCAGTCCCAGCTACATGGGAGTCTGAGGCCTGTGGACCATTTGAACACAGGGGCTGTACTGAGACCTTGTTTCAGAGAGGGAAGAAGGAAGAGAGAATGAGAGGGGCAGAGCAAAATAGAAAGAGTGATTGGTGTTGCAGAATCTAGAGCCCACTGTTGTATAGACGTGAAACATGAGACTGTCGGACAGCCTTTCCTGGTTTTCTGAATCGCCTTTCAGACTTTATGCAATAACAAGCAAGTAATGTGTATTCTGTCTTACTCATATAAAAGCAGTCTGCTCTGTCCTAGACCTTGCATTTCAAAATATTCTTTTTTTTTTTTTTTAAAGATTTATTTATTTATTATATATGAATACACTGTAGCTGTCTTCAGACACACCAGAAGAGGGCATCAGATCTCATTACAGATGGTTGTGAGCCACCATGTGGTTGCTGGGATTTGAACTCAGGACCTCTGGAAGAGCAGTCAGTGCTCTTAACCACTAAGCCATCTCTCCAGCCCTCAAAATATTCTCTTTTAGATTTTATTTATATATGGATGTTTTTCCCAAATGTATGTCTTTATAGTACATGTGTGCTTCATGCCCACAGAGACCAGAAAAGGCACCAGATTCTCTGAGACTGGAGTTACAGATGGTTGTGAGTCACCATGTAGATGCTAGGAATTGAACCTTTGTCCTCTGGAAGAACAGCCAGTTCTTTTAACTGCTGAGCTATCTCTCCAGTTCCCCTCCCCTCCCCCCTGAAACTTTGCATTGTAAGCCTGGCAGTGTGTTTTTCTTTATCCAGTCTTCCAGTTGTCAAGAAATCTGGTGTGCAGGCACCATATCCTGCTTACCCTTGCCCTATTTTGAAAGAATTCTTGGGTTGTCTTACTTTTTGTTATTGTTGTTCTTGCAAATACCATGTAATACTAGATTTGTTCATAAGCCATTTTGTTTCTGTAAACTTTATGGGATAAATTCCCAGACGTGTGATTTCTTCCAAATCAAGGGGTAAATGTGTGATTTTGAGTAAATGCCAGATTGCTTTTAATGGGGACTGACTAACTTGCCATTTCATGAGATATATTGGTACCAATTTTAATTCTAAAGAAACTGGTTCATTTCCACATTTTTATGTTTTCAGATTAATTTTATAACATGGGCAAGAAATTTGAAGTTAATTGAAATGTGGATAGCATTTTCAGTGACAATGCACAAGAAATGAGGGTGTTGTCCTTCAGGGATTCAAGGTTAGGAAGCAGCACGAAGCCAGAACGCATGATATTTGAGCTTTAAGCCTGGCTTCGAGTTTGTTTCCCTAGGCTCTTCTTGTAAAAGGAAGAGAGTGGAGGCTGAAAGATGGCTCAGAGGTTAAGAGCATTTGTGCTCTAACAGACGACCTGGGTTCCATTCCCAGCACCCACATGGCGGTTCTGATCCATCTGTAACTCCAGCTGTAGGTTATCCAACACTGTCTCTGACTTCCCTGGGCATCAGGCACATGTATAGTACATGTATACATGTAGGCAAAACATTCATACATAGAAAATAAAACAAATCTTTTTTTTTTAAAGAGAAAAAAGTAATCAGCTTCCTTTATAAGGTATGGAAATAAAAATGAGAACATGCAGGTTGGTTTTAAAAAGAGCACTACATAAGGCTGGAGAACTGGCCAAGCCATTAAGAACATTTATGGATTCAGGACATTATGGGTCCAGAGGACCCAGGTTTGGTTCCTAGCATCTACATCATGACGTTCACAATTGCCTGGACCTGCAGGTCCAGGGGATCTGATACCTCTGCATATATATGGCACACATAAAGTCACAGAGGCACACATACATAGGAAGGGAGGGAGGGAGGGAGGGAGGGAGGGAAGGAAGGAGGGAGGGAAGGAGGGAAGAAGGAAGGAAGGAAGGAAGGAAGGAAGGAAGGAAGGAAGGAAGGAAGGAAGGAAGGAAGGAAGGAAAGATCCACAGACTATATGGAGCTAGAGAGATGACTTAGTGGTTATGAACATATACTGCTCTTCCAGAGAATGAAATTCCATTCCCAGTAATCCACTTCCAGGGGATCCTTCACCCTCTTCTGGTCTCTAAGGGCACCTGCACTCACGTACACACTGACACACAAACACACATACAAACATGTAATTAAAAATAAAATAAATATTTTAAGAAAGAGCTTAGTAAAACTCCAGAAATAGCATTTCTGCTTTACTGTGGCAATTAGGGTTTAATTCTGAGTAACAGATGAAGCCCAAGAAATTTTCTCTGGGGAAGTAAAGCCATTGGCTGGACACACTGGAGGTTCTGAGGCAAAGTAGGGTACTCAGAGAACAGGTGGGAGATTATGCAGATGCGGTGATGACACTTGGGTGAAACTTGCTGATGCTGCAGGTAATACTTGTCTTTATTCTTACAGTCGATGAGAAAAGAAAGTCCAAAACGACACATGCAGTGCTCCTGGAGATAATTAAGGAAGAAGGCCTGTGAGTACCACCCATTCCACAACTCCGTCAGAGTGGCTTATACAGAGACTTGAAGTCCCTGCTTATGATCTTATAAGGCTTGAGACGTGTAGAGGCATGTGTGTTCTTAATTCCTTACAGATCTGTTAGCCATTTGTTTTTTGTTTTTTTTCTTTTTGTTTTTTTTTTTTTTAGATTTGTTTCTGTGTGTTAGTATTTCCTTACATGTATGTCTGTGTATCATGTGTGTGCCAGATGCTCAAGGAAGCAGTAAGAGGGTGCGGGAGCCCCTGGAACTGGTGTTAAACATGGCTGTGAGCCACCATGTGGGTCCTGGCAACCAAACCCAGGTCCTCTTCAAGAGCAACAAATGTCCTTAACTGCTAAGCCCTCTCTCTAGCCTCCACCATTTAATTAATTAATTAATTAATTAATTATTTTTTATGGCACCTTCTAAGAATTTTTTTTTCTTTTTTAGTTTTTCAAGACAGGGTTTCTCTGTGTATCCCTAGCTGTCCTAGAACTCACTCTGTAGACCAGGCTGGCTTCAAACTGAGAAAGATTCACCTGCCTCTGCCTTCTAAGTGCTGGGATTAAAGGCACCACTGCCTCGCTAAATTTAATGTATAATAAAGCAACAGTGTTGTTGCTTAAGAGTTGAGGATTCAGCTCACTGATCCTGTTTGCCTAGCTTCAATGGGGCCTGGTTTCAGTGCCAGTAGCACACATTGGACAAGACGCACGCACGCACGCACGCACACGGTTCATTCCCATCAATTGCATCCAGACAGATTCTTTTTCTTCTTTTTAAAATTTCTTTGAATTTGTATTTTGAGAAAATTTCAGAGTTGCAAACAATTTCAAAAGTGAAATTGGCACAGAGTACCACTGCACACGTTACCTGCTTATTGACTGACCATTTTTATGTTTCCAGTTATGCTCATACTTGCTCTCCCTCTGCTTCTGTCTTTAACACACACGTGAATATCACATGATCTTTTTCCATTATTTAAATATCAGATGCATGCATCAAAGCATTTAACCTCTATGACATTACATTGATGCTTTAAAATAATATATTCTCCCCCTCCACCCCCACCCCCAAGAGTTCAAAGTCAGGCTGAACAGTATGATGAAACATCTCCCTCTCTCCTGCTGGCCTCCTGTGGTCCACAAGTGCTTTCTGATGTGTGGTTTAGCTACTTCCTGCAGCTCTAAGCTCCTGTGGGGAGAACCTTTCTAGGTGCTGCAGATGTCCTGCTCTTTGTCAGACCTTGAGATTGTCAGTAGAGACCAGACTTTCCTGGCTTCATACCACTTACTTCTCTCAGTTCTGTGACAGCCAAGAGAAGGGAGGGAGGGTTTACTCTGGCTTACTTCACAGTTCATCACAGTAAGTCAGGCATGCCAGCTGATCACATGGCCTCCACAGGACTATTCCCTCGTGCAAGGCTCTGCCTCTTACAGACTTTACAGCCTTCTAAAACAGTTGCCGGTAGAGGGGTTGGGATCAAGCATTCAAATACACAAGCCTGTGGGGAGTGCTTTACATTCAAACCTTGACAGGCTTCTCTGGCAGTTGCCCATGGCTTTTGTCCATGATCTTTACTTTGCTTATTGTGTTTTTCCCATAGCCTGGCACCATACCGAGGATGGTTTCCAGTTATTTCCAGTCTCTGCTGCTCCAATTTTGTCTATTTTTACACTTTTAATAGCCTCAAAGCAGTGTGGGTCAAAGGTCAACGTTCTTCTACAGGAAAAGATCTGGTGGTTGGATTTGTAGCAGGTAACAAAGTTTTCTGTGCATAAAATATGTGTATATTTTAATGTTGATATGTGCTTCATGTATCCTCTAAGAGATGATTTTAGCACCCAGTAATGCTGCAGAGAATATGACCAGTTTTTCTGACATGTCTTCTTAATGTGATAATAAAAACACATGACATAAAACCTGTCACTAGCCATTTTAAGGTGAGTCAGTCACGGGAAATATGCTTGCATTTTATTTTTTTTATTTTTTATTTTTTAAAGATTTATTTATTTATTTATTTTATGAATATACTGTCGCTGTCTTCAGACACACCAGAAGAGGGCATCGAATCTCATTACAGATGATTGTGAGCCACCATGTGGTTGCTGGGATTTGAACTCAGGACCTCTGGAAGAGCAGTCAGTGCTCTTAACCGCTGAGCCGTCTCTCCAGCCCCTATGCTTGCATTTTAAAACTGACACCAGAGGTGTTCATTTTACAAACCTCATACACCCTAAATAAATTCTCCGTCTCTCCTTGCCCAGCCCTTAGTAATCATCCATCCTACTTTCTGCTTTTAAGGACTTGACTACGTTAGTACTGCATGTAAGTGAAATGTATAGTACTTGTCTTTTGAGGCGGGCTTATTTCCCTCAGTAGTATCCCTGAGATTCAAGTATATTGTAGCATTTCACAGATGTCTCCCTTTGTATGTCTAGATAATGCTCTGCTGTATGAATACATCACGTTGTGTGAATCCCCTCATCTGCTAATGGGCACTTGGGTGGCATCCACCACTTGCTGTTGTGAATAGTGCTTCATGAACACAGGGCTAGGCATCTAAAGAGATGCCCTCATCTCAAGTACTTTTGTATATATGTCCCCAAATGGAGCTGCAGGGTCATATGTAATTGTCATGAGCGTGCTATGTCAGAAGCAACGGTGGGAACATTAATGTCTTCCACAATGTCAGAATTTTTGAATAACAATAAATCTACCAGCACCGTCAGTTTCGTCAGCTGTAATTTGCTGTGTCCCAATTTCCCTTGGTAGCTGGCAGTTCTTTTGTTGTGACCTTAGTGACTGATACTATCTTTTAGATATCACATTGTAATCAACTGTAATGGTATGTGAGCACTGAGGGACAGAGGGTTAAAGAGGTGGAGGCAGGAGGATGATGGGTACAAAGAGATTCTGGGGTGCCACGTTAGCGGAAGAGTCCTGTTGGAGAGCTGCTGGAGAGGCCTATACCACAGAGCCAGGCTGCAGATCTTACAGGTTGTATCTGAGCCTCGGAGTAGAGTAAAGCTGCCGACGAGAGGGACAGGCCTATGGGGGCTGCAGAAGTGAGAGGCAGGGCCCAGTGGACAAAGTAATAGACTATCGGATGGCAATGGGAGTAGGCAGTGTCAGTAGTGGCAAAGCTGGGCCGCAGTCCCTAAAGTGCAGAACTTCTCTGCTGCCTATTTCAGTCCCTTGGCACGCATGCCGGATGGTCAGGTGATAGGTCAATGTGGACTGTCAACGTTGTAGTGTTAGGCGTCTCCTTCGTGAGGCTCAGATGAGGGTGTTTCACCTTTCCTTGGTCTGGAATGTTCTAGGGCCTGCTTCTTCTGATATGTGACCATAAGGTTCCGACCTACTTGATGATTAAAGCTGGGCGATAGCTATTTTACTTGAAGGAATATGTGAATTACTGGTGTGTCCCTTGTGGGTGGTGCTGGACAGGTAGTGGTGTCACAGGCGTGATGAGGAGACTTGTCTGTGTCTGTGTTCACTGTGACGACTGAGCCAAGCGTTGCTCGGGAGGTGGAGTGACTGCGTAGCTGAGTGAGCCATAGTCCTCTGGCTGGCTCTGGGGCAGTGTCCATGCCAGGTGTGCCTCTATCGTCCAGTGACTGTATGTAGGCTTCGCACACTCTTCTCTCCTCACTACTTTCTCTCTTGTGCTAACCATCACCCTAATCAGTGTGTGTTTTGCTGCGTCGAGAGTTTTTTCATGCACTCGGTGCCCCTTCAAGTTCTTGGCCTTTTTTAAAAAAAAAAAAAAACAAAAAAAAAACAAGCTACTGTTTTTGCATTCTTGAGTTGTAGGAATCCTTCATGCCTTGTAATAAACTTCTGGTACCTGGCGCCCCTAAAACCGTTGCAGTGTTCTGAGCGGTGATGTCTGTCACTGCTTCTGTCAACCTTGGTTCTAGGTGGCAAGGTCAGCAATAGTAAGTAAAATGAGAGTCCTTGTCTTCATGAGGCTTACAATCCAATGACATAAGAAAGACAATCGGGAAGATAAACCTAACGTGCAGTGCGTTAGAAGATTGGGACAAATTTAGTCAGAGCAGGAGGGTAGAGAGGCTGGCAGGCTAGCCAAGGGACCATTTAGACAGCGTGGCTTTTTTTTTCCTTTGTTTCTTTTTTGTTTTGTTTGTTTTTTGTTTTCCGGACAGGCTTTCTTTTTGTGTTATTGGCTATCCTAACTGGCTCTGTAGACCAGGCTAGCCTTGAATTTGCAGAGGTCCGTCTGTTTTAAAGGTGTACACCTCCACCGTCATTGCACCATTTGAAAGGAGGCAATGTAGACAGTCAGAAACATGGCAGGAGTGTTCTAGAACAGAGCAGAGGCCAACATGACTGCAGAGAACAGAGGACCAGGTCATGTAGTACTTCATAGGACAAGGGGTAGGAAGCGACTGGAGGGCCCTCAACAGCAGCTCAAGGCTCTCACTTGGGTTCTAACATGAAATCATTGACCACTGTGCTGACACGCTTGAGAATAGGGGAAGCAAGACATCAGTTAGGAGTAGGAAGCAGAGAATGGAGAATGAGCTGGAAGTGGGATAAAGCTATAAACCCTTCTCCAGCAAGACTCCACTTCCTAAAGTGTCTCCATAACCTCCCCAAACAGTGTGACCAGCTAAAGGCCATGTGTGCAGATACAGAACTGATGAGGACACTCATCCAGGCCACAGCAAGCAGTCTAACTTGTCCTGTCCTTCCCTTCCAGTTCCCCTAGTAGCCAAGCCCTCCGTCACATCCTTTTCTCCCTCTTCTCCTGCCAGCTCAGAGGCTAGTGCACATCCCTTTCTGTTGGTAGTTCTGTGGTATGGGTGTGTTCCTTCTGGGCAGACAGCTAAGTCTCACTCATGTCTGTCACTCACAGCACAGTCTGCTTACAGTCCCCCCCCCCCAGCCCTCACATTTCAGGGGTCCCAGTCATTCTCCATTTGTCAGCCATGTTGGAGATGTGCCTATACTCATGTGATAAGAAGTGTGGCACTCGGGGCTGGAGAGATGGCTCAGTGGTTAAGAGCACTGACTGCTCTTCCAGAGGTCCTGAGTTCAAATCCCAGCAACCACATGGTGGCTCACAACCATCTGTAATGAGATTTGATGCCCTCTTCTGGTGTGTCTGAAGACAGCTACAGTGTACTCATAAATAAAATAAATAAATCTTTAAAAAAAAAAAAAAAAAAAAAAAAAAAGAAGTGTGGCACTCTACCACATGGAGAAGACAGGCACTCTGGGATTACCTCACAGACACCACCTTCAGATAGAGCAGCCTTGGTTGTATGGCAAGAACAAGGTAGCTTACTACAGCAGGAAGTCTTGTCATTCTCTACCACGTGGGATGGAGAGCGGTGTAGGGATCCTCTCCCTCTTCAGCCCAAGATGTTCTGCACTAGAGGGCTCAGCTTCCGTTGATGCTTCCCACCCACAGCAGGAGCAATGCCACTCCACATTCTCCCAAGCTCATCTTTGCTCTTACTGGTCTCTGTCTGAGTACCAAGTGTTGCATGACTTTTCCTGAGGAGATGCACTCAGATATCTGCTCATCTCAGCTAGGGCTCCCAAGTGCAGCTTGGTGGACAAATGAGTTTATTGACCTTACTTAGAGGAGCATACCTGAGCTGTTATAAGACTGTGGGGAGGACAGGCAGTGGTGGCGCACGCCTTTAATCCCAGCACTTGGGAGGCAGAGGCAGGCGGATTTCTGAGTTTGAGGCGAGCCTGGTCTACAGAGTGAGTTCCAGGACAACCAGGGCTATACAGAGAAACCCTGTCTCGAAAAACCAAAAAAGACTGTGGGGAGCCCAAAACAGCTAGATCACCAGGAAGTCTCCCTCCAGCACAGATGACCACTTCCTGAAAGCTACATAAATAAGGACCTCCTCTAGTCAAATTTGCATTTCCTGTATTTTTTAGCACTTCTTGAGACTGAGTTCAGCTTGGGCAGTGTTACATACAGCTGAGGGAGGGGTTGTGGACGGATTGGCTACGGTCTAAGATGAGGGTCCCATGGTCCATTCCCACTCCTTATGTGAGTGAATGTTAAGATGGTGGTGACCAAAGCTAGAGAAATGCGTCAGTGATCAAGAGCACTTGCTGTTCTTGCAGAGGACCCAGGTTCAGTGCCCAGCCCCCACAAGATTACTCAGGCTCACACCTGTCTGTAACTCCAGTTCCAGGGTGTCAGGCTCCTGTACAAACACGCTCTGCTTACGTTCACATAGTATACAAACATAAAATTTAAGAGGAATGAAAATAATGATGACCATACTATGCCTGGAGGACAGTTGTCCCCAACAACATCCTACACAGTAGCACACAACAAAGAATCACCTGAAAATGCCCGTGTGCTTGTACCCAAGAAACCTGAAGTTAAAGAACTATTACAAAATTGCGATTCTGAGAGTCAAGTCCTTCTTTCTGATGGTACAGAAGTCCTTGGAAATGACTTTTAAACTTCTCCTCATAACACATTTTTATATCTTAATCCATATCCATTCTTGCAGTAATCGGAGCTGTCTTTTCTCTCCTCTGAGCCCTGTCACTGTGTCAGCTCTGGAGAAACAAGTTTCCCTTTCTCTGAGGAGAGCAAGGCCCAGCTTTCCAGGTTCTCAACCTTCCTAATGCCGCAACCCTTTAATATGTAGTTCCTTGAGCTGTGATGACCCCGGCCATAAAATTATTTTCATGGCTACTTTATAACTGTATTTTACTGCTGTTATGAATCATGAATTACGGTGTAACTATCTGGGTTTCCCAGTGGTCCTTAGTGTTTTTATAAGTGACACTTATAAAAACATTCTGCAGGAGGGTTGTTTGGACCCCGAGGGCTTGCGACCCACAGGTTGAGAACCTCCAGCTTTGTTGCTATTCAGATTCTGCTTGAGACTTAGAAGTTTATTATTACTTATTGTATCTCTACAGTAGATATACCTGGAAGAGTTTGGGACTAGAACCTTACGGCCAGCATGAATGAAGACAGTGTTTGCCGTGTTTATGAATTGTAATTTTGAGCAGCAGCACTTTTGAAAGCCAGTTGAGAACGTACTTCCTGCCTCTGCCTTAGTCTGGCCAGCCGGGTGTATTCTTGTCATACACTGTTTTACGCTCCTGTCTAGGGAGACAGTGGGTTAGACTTGAGGCTTTCATCTGCTCTTTTGTTTTATTTCATTCTGTCTTGAGGCGAGAATCAATTTTTCAGATGAGTCACTATAAAACTCATGATCCTCCTGCTTCAGCCTCCCAACCTTGATTTGCCATTTTCTTTCTTGTTTTAAAATTTATTTACTTAAGTTGTGTGTGTGTGAACATATGCATGCATGCATGTGCATGCGTTCATGTTTGTAGAGGCCAGAGTACATTGAATGTTGCCTTCTATAGCTCTCTGCCGTGTTCCCTTGAAACGGGGTTCTTTCACTGAGCCTGGAGCCCCCCTACACACACACACAGCACTGGGGTTACAGGCACATACAGCCATCTATGTCCAGCTGTTTATTGGGGTGCTAAGGATCTGAACTCCATCTCCCCAGCACGGGACATTTCCCTGAATCAGCCGCCATCACACTCTTTCCAGCGTGCGTCTGAGACACATTTCATCCTCCCCCTTGAACAAAGCTGTTTATTTTGAAGATTTCAGAAGTAAACAGCTATGTCCCAGTTATTCCTGCTGTGAGGATAAGCAACAGCTGCTTTTTTACCCCGAAAGGTTTCTGAAATGAGCCGATGGTGGACAGGTTAACAAGGGAAAAGAAACACACATGAAATCTTTTTTCAAAAAGCAGTGCCCACCCAAAAAAAGGTAAAATGATAGGAAGCGGCAAGTGAAAGTCACAAATGCCCGCTGCCTCTCTAGGGAGGAGTGCACAGGATGCGCAGTAGAACAAATGTACTTAAATTGCACAGGAAGCAACCTCAGGTCAGTAGCTACACAATAATCTATGCACTCTTCTTTGTGCAAGAGTCACTTCAGAGTGGTAGTAAATGGCTTTTAGAGAGAACAAGTGGGTCTGGAGACCAGAGCAGTTTGTCTGATTCTCTCTGGAAGTGAGTGGGCAGGGGAGACAGATTGCAGTTTGTGACAGTCTATCCAGGGGTAGTAACATAGCCCACTTTTCTCTCCTATGACACTCAAGGATGTCATCTTTAGGCAAATAAGGGAACACTAGAGTGGGGCCTCTCCAGACTCCAAGAGCCTACATTTAAAAATTAGTATAATACTGCTGAATTTGGGATGCTGTTCCCTGGTCCCTACACCTGGATGGGAGGGTGGGGTGGGCTCCCATGCCCCTTCACCTGGATGGCTGAATGGTTTTTGTCTGTTTGGTTACTGTTTGTCAGCTCTTGATTTTTGTTCTGCTTTCTCATAAATGATTTGTTCTTGAAAAGGGAAAGAAAGGTAGATTCATAGATACTCAAAAGAAAAATAACCCCCTGCCCTTAGGTATGCAGAGTGTTAATTAGAACTCAGGTCTTAGAGCTGAAGCAACACCCACAGATTAGAACCGATGGGAGTGCACCCTTGAGGGTCTGCCTGTATGGTGTGTTATTAGGACCTGAAGTTAGTCATGACTAGCTCTGGAATGCTGCCATTTGCTTGATTATGTAAGTTGCAATTTTTGTGAGGTTTTAAAAAGCATTGTCAAGTATTTTTGAGTGCATTCTGCCCCAGAATTCATAAAATTATCGTGGTAAAAAGGTACCTCTCCATCCATTCTGACTTAGAGGGTGAAGCCGGTACTTGATCTTCCCAGATGCAAAGCTTTGCAATGGCTTTCCATCCCTTCCTTTAAATATTGTGTGCACTTTGCACTTGAGGCTGTCCTCAGAACCCTTCAGTCTTTCTGCTGTGTTAATAATGGGAACACGGAAGCGGAGCCTTGAATAATGGCTGACTCTCAGTCTTGGCTCTGTTGGTCCTTAAGTGTTTTGTGTACACCTACTTCTTGAATAGAACCTGAAGGACGTTTTGATTTCTAAAGAATCTGCCTAATGGACAATGCATTTCATTTGTTTGGGAAGGTGCATACATTGCTTTTCTGTGGTATCCATGGGTTCCAAGCTCTCGTGTGCTGGCTTTCTCTGAGGTGGGGGTGGAGGCGGAGAAGCCAGAGACACTAGCATTTTCTGGCCTGATTTTCCCAGATACCGATTTGTCTCTGTGATGTGAAGTGTACATCACATCAAGTAGGCATCCATTCTGAACTCTGGACAGATAGGCTGTGGGGCACTGGTGCCTTTGGGAAGAGTCTAGCAAGGATCTCCTGTGGCAGGCACAGCTTTTTTCAGACTGTAGTCAGTGCCTTGAGATAGCATATGAATAGGGTCAGAGCTACAGACGGCTTCTTGGTATTCTGTGACTCTGTAGAAATGTAACTCATAAGATTACTTGGTACTGACTTTTATTTAGGGGAAATATGTTGGTACATTCCTCCTGGAGAATAAGCAGAAAACCATCTTCCTTTGGTAACTGTGTGAAACAAACAGAACGATAGGTTTGAGTCTGAGCTGCTTTCACAAAGTCTGTCCTTGATTAAACTGTTTGCTCTGTAGGGTGTTTGAGATTCCTTACACGAAATCATGTTTTTCCCTCTGTGTTGTGTTTAAATGACTTTTAGAAAAGTAGGGGGTGGGGAGTTTCCTTTTCTTCTTTAGGATTGTTCCTGTTTGTTCTTCAGGGCTCAGCTGGAGCCTGACGGTTCCATTACACTTGCTCATTGCCTGTCCCTTGGTTGACCTGTAGTTCTAAAGTAGACACCATTTGTCAGGCATTTTGTTACAATCCTATATGGTATTTTCTTTAATCATTTCAGGACGATGAGACGTTTTAATTTCTGGAGATGCTGTTAAATTGGGACCATGTGTTTTCAAAGAAGCACCTGGCTCACGGGTGCTGTTCTGAGGCAGCCTTGTGGGGCCAAGGTCGATCTTCATGCTTGTAAGGGTCACAGCACTCCTGGAGCTCCTTTGGGTATTTTGTGACACTTTGTAACTGCTGCCTGCTGCTGGCTGTCCTAATCCTCTGAATGATGAGCTCTTCTGTGAGCTTTTGGTCCCAGTTGAAACACTTGGAAATGTCAGTCTGTCCTCCCACCTGTCACCCAGAGTACCAGATCACACTTGTTTAAAACCCTGTGCTACTTACATGAGAGTGGGCTGTTCTTTTCTCTGATGCTGACATGGATTTAGCATGGTATCAACAGAATTCTCCTCCCTCTCTGAAGCTGTTATTTAACAATTGTGTTTAAAACTATATCAAACTGCTACTTTGTTTTGTACTGCTGGCGATTAAACCAGGCCTTGCATGTGTTAGACAATTGCTCTGTCCCTGAGTTAAATCTCCATCCCTAAATCACCATTTTGAATTCTATTTAAAAAAAAAAAATCAACAAATGATTGCCTTCATTGAGTGAGGAAGGAAGTTGTCTACTCTTTCTGTGTGAGGAAGCACAGGCTTCCCGATTGCTTCTAACGGCAGTAGCATGTGTTGTACCCCAGCACAACGTTAAACCTTACCTGAAGTCAGTGGCAGAAATAGAAATGGCTTACATGTGTAACCTCAGACAGCAGCGATTAGCAGGTAACTGTGCTTTCAGGTGTCTTTCTCTGTTTTTAAGGAGTGGTGAATGTGCTGCTAACTACTCCACTCTGGGTGGTAAACACCAGACTGAAGCTGCAGGGGGCAAAATTTCGGAATGAAGACATTATACCAACCAACTACAAAGGCATTATTGATGCATTCCACCAGATTGTTCGAGATGAGGGGATCTTGGCTCTGTGGAACGGCACCTTTCCCTCCTTGCTGTTGGTCTTCAACCCTGCCATCCAGTTCATGTTCTACGAAGGCTTAAAACGGCAGCTTTTAAAGAAGCGGATGAAGGTAATCCCTAATTTTAAAATTGTCTTAAAGAAATGCCTGTTTCCTTGTTTGATTAAAATGGTCCCTCCTCTGCTTTCCAGCTCTCTTCTCTGGATGTGTTCATCATCGGTGCAATAGCCAAAGCGATTGCCACCACAGTCACCTATCCCATGCAGACGGTACAGTCAATTCTGAGGGTGAGTGCTAGGGTTCTCCTAAAGTAAGTCCAGTGACACCTAAAATACATCCTAAAATCAGAAAAAGCAATAATTCAGGTCACGCCTGTGTGAGTTTGCCCATTTTTCTCTGTATGTGACATTTTGCTAACCAGACTTTGGCTGACTTTCTGCATGACATGGAATGAGCTTTACATTGGAATTTCTTAGAAATATGTGGTCTCAGAAAAACCGTATGTGTGAAAAGATTCCTCAAGGACTCAGGACAACCCAAGTCCTCTTTCTTCTCATTCATGTTATTTGCCATGGTGCAGGTGATCCTTCATAAAATCAGAGGTTAACTTCTTTAGTTCACTCGTGGATAGTTAACATTTAACTTTTCCAAAACACGTTCAGATTTCCAAACATTTGGTTGGGTATACATTCAGACATTTTTAGACACTCTGTGAGGAGCTGGGGGTAAAGTCTTCATGGAGACAGCAAGTGAAAGACCCAGATAATTATTACAGTCTAGTCAGCTGTTACCACGAGCCGCACTGGCTTACTGGAGAGGAGCAGTGGGTTCTTCCTAGGTGGTTTGGCTGGATCCCCACCTCTCTGAGAAGCACACCAAAATCAAAATGAAGGGAATATGAAGCTAAGAGGGAGGAGAGCTGGCAAGAGCTCATTCCATCTTAGAAGCTGAAAAGAGGCCTCTGTGGCCAGGAGCGGCTTCCCCAGCATGAAACTGGAATAATTACAGGAAAGGTAGCTGTAGGTGAGGAAAGCGGATGGGAAGATTTTATTCTCAGCCCAGCAGTAAGCCTCTGGAGGACTTTTAAGTTGGAAAGTAGTATGATCTAATATACATTTCTGGAAGGCCTGTGTGGCTCTTCTTGCAGTGAATTGATCAGCTGAGGAGTAGAGTCTGGATATTGTTTGCTTTGCAAATATATGAACCTGAGTTCAAATTTCCAGCACCTGCATAAAGAGTCGGGCATGGTTTCCTGTGCCTGTAACCCCAACATGGGGTTGGGGAAGTATGGGGTAGAGATAGGCAGATCTTCAGAGCTGGCTAGCCAGCCAGCCTAGCCAAAATGAAAAGCTTCTCGGTCAGTGAGAACTATCTTATGGCACGAAGGCAGGGATCCTGAGAAGAAGGCAACAGGGACCCTGCTTCACCTCCACATGCACACAGGTTCATCCTCTACTGTCACAGACTATTCGAACCTGTTTCTAGTTGTGGTGTGGCTCAGCCCTTAGCACACACCTTTAATCTCTCTGGCTGGAGTACAGACTGGCCTTTAGACCTCACCTTTAGACCTCACCTCACAAGTTTGTAGAAGGAAGCACCATGTTTGAAAGCTATGTCTAATTAACTATCAGACAAAGTAACAAACCAAAGATTAGGCAGAATAGGATATGCCCAACTCTCAAGAGATGAGCGAGGAAAGAGAAGCTATTTAAGGGAGAGAGAGAGAGCACAGGAGGAAGGGAGTAGAGCCCAGGAATACAGAAGAGTTCATGGAGAGCAGTGCAGTAGAGTTGAGAGGCAGAGTAGAGCAGCAGAGAGAGAGAAGGAGGCAGCTTTACCAGGAGAGTTTTACAGAGACAGATTGAGGAGGACAAGCCAGACACAGGTAAAGACAGAATGACACAGAGAACGAGAAGGAGCCAGAAGATTAGAATAGATTGCTAGTTTGAGGCCAAGCAGAATTCAGAGGCCAAGAGAAAAGCCAGATTGAGTAAGTCAGCTGGAAGAAGAGTTTGAGCCAGAACAACTGAGTTGAATTAGAACAAGCCAGAGCTCAGAAACAACAACAAAAAGGCAAGCTTGTTGTTCAGCAGCAAGTCACCAAGGCTGAACACATTCTAGGCCTGGATTATATTGTACTGAGACTAGAAGCTTCTAGGACTAGGTATAGGTTAGCAGAGTAGTTTAGCAGACAAAGAGCCTCCCAAACAACTTTTACACTCCACCCTCCAGACTAAAGAGAAAGAAAAAGAGGGCCAATCAAGGCAGGAGACCATTTTAGTAATCCAGGTGAGGGCGTGGTAGCCTAGGCTAGGTTAGCAGCAGTGGAGATTAGATGTGGACAAATTCAGGATCTGTGCTGGGGCTTGGTGTGATTCTCGGTATACAACTATACCAAGGCTTACTTAGCATGTGCAAGGTCCTGGGTTCGATCCCCAGCACTATAAAAATATTGTTAAAAAATCTGTTCTAGAGAGAACATTTGAAAGATTTTTTACTAGAGAAAATGAAGGTGGTGCCTCAATTAAAAACACTACTTTAGTGTTTTTGCTAATGTGCTATTTTTTTTTGTGAAATTGGCTCTTGATGGAAGGGATTTCACTGTCGTTCACATAAATGTTTTTAATATATTCCTGATTTGAAGAGTGTAGATTGCAGGTGGTCTGACTGATCAGTGGTTACCAGGCAGAATGTCTTAAAGACCTGGAAGTTACCTACCCTCATCCACCCCAGGCATGTGCTTCTGTTTTGTTTTAGTCTTTGCTGATAGAATTTTTCCATAATCCTCTGTAAATGTGAAAGTTCCTCCTGTTGAGGATGCAGCTTGGTGGTGAGGGGATCTATTTTAGCATACCGAGGGCCTTTGGCTCAATCCCCAGAACAATGAAAAAAAAGTATGCTTTCTTTATTGAAAAATATTTTTTATTTTGATTTACTTAATTGAAAAAGGAGATTAATAAAATCTGTGTTGCTAATTGGATATTTTTATCATCAAAAGCTGTGTTATGAGATGTTACTCCACTGTAATTTCCTAAGTAGAAATTAAGATGAAGAGGGGCTGGATGGTCGTTTAGAGCAGAGAACCCAGATTCACTTCCCTGGTACTCCTGTGGAGAACCTCACAGCCTCTTGTGACTCCAGCTACACACACACACACACACACACACACACACACACACACGTACATGATTAAAACAAAAATACATCTTTTTAAAACACAAAGTTAAGAGAAAACAGTGATAAATAGTGATTTTTTTTCCCTCCTTCCATCCCAGTTTGGACGTCATAGACTAAACCCAGAAAACAGGACACTGGGGAGTCTTCGGAATGTTCTCTCTCTTCTTCACCAACGAGTCAAGTGAGCTCTGCTTTCCCTCTCAGCAGCCTCCTTCGCTGGGGGTGGGGGTGCGGGTGGAAGGATGGGGGGTGGAGGGGGTGGGGAGGTGGGACGGTGGCCACATGAGCTCTTCTGGTGCAGAAACCTCTGGTGTGTTCTCGGGTTTCTCTCCCTTTAGGAGCTCAGTGTGATTTGACCGCAGTTTGGAGGATTACAGAAAAGTTCAGCTCTATATTCTTTGCTAGTTATAAATACAGGACTCCTTTGGAAAGGAAACCCCAAGATGGGGAATGGGACTTGGTGATGGAGCTTGTGCTTAGTATGTACATGGCCCTGGGTTCAAACGCTAGGACCAAGAAAAAAAGAAGAAGAATGAGGCTAACTTGGGAGGCAGAGGCAGACAGATCTCCGTGAGTTTGAGGTCAGCCTGATCTACAGAGCAAATTCTAAGACAATTGGAGCCCCATAGTAAGACTTGTCTCAAATAAATAAATAAAATGAAAAACTTACCAATATAAAGCCAGTTAAATATCAGTAAAAGTTACATATATACATATATATGTTTTTTTTAAAAATTTCCTCTCTTGTTACTCTCTTAAATGGTAGTCACTGTAAAGTATGCACATTTCTAGGGAATTATACAAAGCATATATTTCAGTATATATGTTTTCAGTGTGCATGTGTGTGTATATGTATATTATACATCTTACTGTTTTGTTTTTACTTTGAGGCAGAGTCTTGTGGTGTAGCCCTGACTGGCCTAGTATTTCTCAGGTAGACCAGGCTAGCCTCAAACCCATCTTCTCCTCTTTGTAACCTTAACATCACACCCACTCCTTTCTGTTGACAATTGTAGACTTTTACTGGTTTCCTGTAATGCAGTACACTGTGATTTACTCACCAGTGCAGCTACTGATGAGTGCCCAGGCTGTCTGAAGGTTCTTCTTCTTTACAGACATTGCTGGGCGAAGACTATAAACTGAGCCTTGTACAATTAAGCAATCATAATTGTAGAGAAGTCCCTTTATGTGGAATTATCTAGTTAAGAGAATTAGGACACATGCAATACTGACATTTTATCATTTCAAAAATTATATATTTGTATATTGACCCTCAAGAATGACAGCAATTAAAATTTTCTCCAGCTTTGAGAAGGTTAAGAAGCATGGGCATTATTACTAAGAGAGTTAACTAAAATGTTCTCAATTGGAAATTGATGAGGTCCTATAATTTGCAAATGAACTATCTTCACATCTTGTTTCTTGGTCCTGTTTGGTCCTCACTCAGCCCTGTAGAAAAGCAATTATATTCCCATTTTGCAAATCAAGAAGCAGATTTAGAGTAAGCAGTTTGCCCAGTACTCGAGAGAGGCAGAGCCAGATGAACGACGGCCATCCTGCTGTAGCACATTCTGTGATGATGGAAACACCTGCACAGTTCAGGCAGGTTGTGACCAGCTGCCCGGAGCTGTTGAGCATATAGAATACTACGATGCTACTGAGAAACCCAATTTCCATTGTTTTAATCTTTTTGGTTTTCAATTCAGGGTTTTTTTTTTTTTGTGTAGCCTTATCTGTCCTGGAATTCATTTTGTAGACCGGGCTAGCCTCAAACTCCTAGAGATCCTCCTGCCTCTGCCTCCCAAGTGCTGGGATTAAAGGCCTGTGCCACCACTGACCGGCCGTTGATTTAATTTTTATTTGCCACATCTGGCTAATAGTTACTGTCATTTATAATAAAATAACATGCCAACCCTCTCCAATTGTATGTGGTTAAGAAACACCTGAAATGGGGCTGGAGAGATGGCTCAGTGGTCAAGAGCACTGACTGCTCTTCCAGAGGTCCTGAGTTCAATTCCCAGCACCCACATGGTGGCTCACAACCATCTAGAGCTGGATCTAATGCCCTCTTCTGGTGTGTCTGAAGACAGCTACAGTGTACTCATATAAATAAAAATAAAGGAAGAGGGGCTGGAGAGATGGCTCAGGGATTAAGAGCATTGGCTGCTCTTCCAGAGTACCTGGGTCCAGTTCTGTACCCACATGGCACTTTGTAATTTTAAAAGTGTTGATTTTTCTTTATTCTGGCTAGCTCCTAAATAAATGAGACAGAGTCTATAAGATTTATTTAATCAAGCTCTACAGCACAATAGCTGAGCAGTTCTTAATATGTTTTAATACTCTAAGCTAATCTGACTACCTCTCAACCAAAATCTCCCAGACACTTGCATTTTAGCGCGTTGCTCTAGCTTTCTCTGGTCGGGTGTGTTTCCATGATGCCTTCTTTTGGACACTCCCCTTTTCCTCTCTCTCCCTTTCCCCTGGCTGGGATCAGAAGTCCCGCCCTATTCTCACCTCTGCTCAGCCAACAGGGTGATCGTTAACACAGTGCACAATAACACTGTGCCTGCAGAGACCAGCTATAACTACAGCCCCAGGGGTGCCAAAGCCCTCTTCTGGCCTCCTCAGTCACTGCACACATGTGAGATACAGACAAAACAATCATACACATAAAAAATTTTTAAGTAATAAAAATATTATTTAAAAAGTGGGGTTGTGGTGGTGGCGGCTCATCTTTAATTCCAGCGCTTGGGAGGCAGAGAGGCAGGCAGATCTTTGTGAGTTCAAGGCCAGCTTAGTCTACAGAGCAAGCTCCAGCACAGCTAGAGCTACACAGAGAAACCCTGTCTCAAAAGAGAAAAAAGAAGAGAGGAGAGGAGAGGAGAGGAGAGGAGAGGAGAGGAGAGGAGAGGAGAGGAGAGGAGAGAAAAGAGAAGAGAAGAGAAAAGAAAGAAAGAAAGGAAAGAAAGAAAGAAAGAAGAAACACCTAAAGGGCTGGGAGACACTCAGTTGATAAAGTGTTTGCCATGCAGGCATGAGAACCTGAGTTCAGATGTCCAGCACCCACATAGAAATCCAGGTGGCAGAGTATTCCCATTCCTGTAGCACTGGTGGGTGAAAGCACGTGGGTCCTGGAGGTTTACTTGGCCAGTTTAACCAATACTGCAAGGTCTAGATTCAATGAGAGGCCTTGTCTCAAAAAATAAGGTGGGATTCAATAGACAGTGATGCTCAAGTCTTCTGGGTAGTAATGGTGCACACCTTTAATCCCAAGTACTCAGGAGGCAGAAGCAGGCAGATCTCTTAGTTAGAGGCCAGCCTGGTCTACAGAGCAAGTTCCAGGACAGCCAGAGCTACACAGAGAAACCCTGTCTCAGGGAAAGAAAAATTCAAGTCAACCTCTGGGCTTTACATGTGTAAACAAAGGTTTGAGCACCGACACAGACATACACACACACACACACACAAAACAAAGGTTTGAGCATAGTATCATTGGCTGAAGCCAGGTATGATATACACACCTGTAGAGATGGAAGAACCAAAAGTTAAAGACAACCTTGGCTACATAAGAAATTTGAGGCCAGGTGGAGCTACATGAAGACCCTATCTGTAAAAAAGAAAACACAGCTGAAATGCTTGTCACAGCGTAGAGCTGCACCTTCCCTGCAAAGTGGCCTCAGAGTCTGCAGTCTCAGCAGCTCTGGCTGGGCTTTCCATTGTGGGTAATGTCACCCTGAAGAGCAGGGGTAGTCAGTGAACGAACGGGAAAGACATGGGTCCAGTCTTGCACCCTGTTTTTCACATGATTACCTGGCAATAAATTTTTACAGCACATATATAAACTAGCTTGATTAGTTTTAACGTCGACCCATAGGTTGCAGTTGTTTTTGAGATGGCATAAGAGACTAACTCAGCCCGGCGGTGGTGGCGCACGCCTTTAATCCCAGCACTTGGGAGGCAGAGGCAGGCGGATTTCTGAGTTCAAGGCCAGCCTGGTCTATAGTCAACTCACTGTTACAGGACAGCCAGGGCTACACAGAGAAACCCTGTCTCAAAAAACTAAAAAAAAAATAAAATAAAATAAAAAATAAGAGACTAACTCACTCTCAGCAAATAACTTTGGAGTGATTATTTGCTTTAGGGTTCTGGTTCTAGCCAATGCATTCTTGTCTGAGGAGCTCTTATGTGCTGGTCCCAGGCTAGCATGTTCCTCCTCACCACCTGGGAGCTTGCTTGTTGGACATGCAAATTTTTTGAGTCCTGTCCCCAAAGTTAATGAGTCATATATTCTTGGACTGGGCTAGCAGATCTGTATTTTAATCAGCAGTTTTGGTGACTCAGATGCTTGGTGAATTTCGTTTGAGCCCTAGGACCAAATGTACAGGCAGTCTGAGGATCAGACAGCTCTTCATTTCTGTCTCTTTCCTTAGTTATGTTGAGGTTAAAATGATCTGAACCAATTAATGGCTTTCCTACCACTTGGGGGCTGTTGAAATACCTGGAGTTGGGGGCCCATTAAACGTAAAAGTTCTTAGATCTCTGGCTTGGGCACTATGATGGTTTCAGAAGCTTTCAGAATTCCCATCCTATTAGTGCAGCTAGCACTCGCCTAGCTAATGACAGCTGTAATAAAGACAGTATCAATGGCACCCTGTACAGAGTTTCATCTGTCCACCTTCAAAGCTAAGAAATACTCCAGCAGCAGATTGTTGGAATTGAAAACCTCTGTTGCTTGTTTTGATCCTAAAGAGAAACCCTCTCAGGGAGAAGCTACCAGAGCAGCAGATCTAACCCAAGAGCTCATTTTTACAAAGAAAATCCATTTTTTTCCCAACCTCTTTCCTTTTAGGCGCTTTGGAATAATGGGACTCTACAAAGGCCTCGAAGCCAAGCTGCTGCAGACAGTGCTCACAGCCGCCCTCATGTTCCTTGTGTACGAGAAACTGACAGCTGCTACCTTCACCGTAATGGGTCTGAAGAGCACACATAAGCACTGAGGCCCGCCCACAGGACAGTGTGGAGACGCAGGTGCTGCACAGAGAGAAGAGGCACAGTTCTCCTTTCCCAACGGTTCCATCCACACCGTAGACATTCATGTTATTGGCTGTAAAAAACATCAAAGGCTAAACAGAGTATAGCCAGCTAAGCCTATCGCTTTTATGTTTTTTTTGGTGTTTTATGGTGTTAGGTTGGATTCGGGGGTAGAGGTTAGACTGATATGAAAATATTGAAACCCCGAAAATGGAAGTCTGTGGGTGTTCACTCATTTTTCTCAAGGGGAATGAACTTTCCATCTAAGGCTTTTCTCAACTTTACCACTTGTTTTCTTTCTCTAAAGCTCTCCTGGGTTCCAGACGATTCAGTAACATTATTCTCCTCAGATACTCTTCTGTCTTAGTCTTGGTAAAGAACTCCTCACTGAGAATAACATCATGACTGTGCCATGGGCATGACTTTATTTCTGTCTGACTCCTTCCCTCCTGCTTAAAGAAAGCTATTTATTTTGTGGGGGAAATGAAAATTATTAACCTAAATGATTTTCTTAAGATTTGTAAATGTCAATTATTCATTGGTGTTTGACATAGTTTTTTTTAATACATATTTATTTTGAATTGTCTTTTACTACAAAAAAGCCTTGATGTTGTATGTCCTTTTGTGCAAGCTCCAATCACATAAGCCTCAATAAATTGTCAGCACACACACACAAAACATTCGTGAAAGTTGCTCTTTTATTAAGACCTTAAATGTGTATGTGTGGTGGTTTGAATGGCCCTGTGGACTCCCATGTGGATGCTTGGTGCCAGTGGGCGGAACTGTTTGGGAAGGGTTAGGAGATGTGGCCTTGTCAGAGGAAGTGTGTCACTGGGGGCTGGCTTTGGGGTCTCAAAGCCCACACCGTGTCTCTCTGCCTTGTGACTGTGCCTCAAGGTGTGAGCTCTCAGCCACTGCTCCAACACCACGCCTGCCCACCTTTCCACCGTGACAGTCATTGACCTTACACCTCCGACACCCTACGCCCCAAGTTAAGTGCTTTCTTTTACAGGTTACATTGGTCATTGTGTTTTATCTCAGCAACAGAGCAGTAACGGAGACAGTGTGACAGTGTGCAACCGGGTGGTTAGAGGAAGATTGTACAAGGGCACTGGGAGGCAGGTCCCTTGTGTGGTCTCTGCAGTGCTCTCTTCCCTTGTAGATTCTGTGTGGATGCTGTATTTTCAGAAGCATTTGATGCAGGTTATTTCCATTTTGAAACATTCCTTAAGAGCCCTACTACTGTAAAATATGGCCCAGCAAACAGTAGCGCTGGCATCAGCTGAGAGCAGGTTAGGCTTGCCGCCCAGGCCTCCCCAGTCATATTTTTGTAGTTTAACAAGATCCCCAGGCAGTTCCTTCTATAATACAGTTCAAGAGATCGTAGGGCCGGTGGCCCAACAGAAGACAGGGCTGGCTTCAATTACAGAAGCCAGATAAATATTTCTCTCCAAGGAAAACTGCATTGTTATAGAAAAGATGGCCTCTTAGAAATCTGGAAGTCCCATGTCGCCAATTCCTTCCCTCAGAGCACACAGCAGGAGCAGATTCAGATAGCTCAAGCTACCCACAAAGCAAATTCTCTTCCCATTTACAGAATTCTTTTTTTCTCAGCCTCCTCGCCAAGATCAAGTGTGGCTTCCTCTTAGGAGAATAACTGACTTTGTGATTTGGTTTCTGTCACGTTCGTCATTCAGTCAGTTGGAGAGTAATGAGGATTCTGTGGATCTGGACTCTGGAAATCTCCTCTTCCCACTCCTTTGATGATTCCACAGTGTGTGGTTATTAAGCTAGTAATAACTGAAGGGGGCTGGGGCATTCTAGAGAACAAGAATTAGGCGGGCTTGACTGAACACCCTTTCCCTATGGGGGACAGGACTGGTCCCGTTACTATTGGATGTGTGTATGTGTGAGGGCAGGAGCAAAAGGAAATGTGCGCCTGCGTGTGGAAGCCAAAGGTTGCCATTGGCTATTCCCTTCAGGCTCCCCCCTCCCTTACCTTTTTGAGCCAGGGTCTCTCACTAAACCTGGAGCTCACTGATTTGGCTAGACTAGGCAGCTGGCCAGCCCCCAGGAGCCACCCAATTGTACCTCCCCAGTGCTGGGGTTGTGGCATGCTTCACCGTGCTGGATTTCTACATGGATCTTGGTGCTTGAACTCAGATCCTCATGCAGCCACTGCTGGCTAAGCCATCTCCCCAGGTCCCCTCTGCCATTACTACTTTTTATTTTACTTTAAGGTTTGGGTTGGAGTTTTTTGGGTGGGAACCCCGAGACTACCGTTCGGGCTCCATCGAGGAGGAAAATGATTTAGGAGGTGCTAGTGCACCTTCACAACCGTTTTAGTTCTGCTGTTCACCTTGATCCTTGAGTGTTGATCTCGGGGGCTGATGGGGTCACGTGTTACAGTAATCTCTAAACTGAAGAATATGCTCAAGTTAAGTGTTTATGGTGTTAGAATGTATTTGATACTTCATTTTTTGGTTGGCTGGTTGGTTGGTTGGTTGGTTGGTTGGTTGGTCCTTCTGCTTTATTGAGACAGGGTCTTGTAGCTCTGGGTATTATGGATCTCACTATGTAAACTATGGTGGCCTCGAACTCACAGAGATCCATGACTGTGCCTCTAAATACTGGAATCAAAGGCATGTGCCACCGCGCCTAGCCCCCTTTTCTCTGATCTTATGAGAGGCAGTCCAGTAATGAGGCTTTCTAGGTAATAACACCTAGCTTTGTAGCCTTTAGTTACTAACAGGTTAATTGAGCATGATAAAGTGCTGGTGTCCGTTAGAAGGGATGGGGATTTTTTTTTCTCATCTTAAATTGTGTAGTTACTTTAGATTTAGGAGGATTAAGAACCTTAGAGATCACATCAGCATCACTGCAGTGGAAGTGTTCATTTCTGTGAGCATTTAATCTCTGCTTTGAAGTGGACACTGATGTTTCTACCCTTGACTATTTTACAATTAACTCAGAACTCTGAAAGCTAGACTGTACCCCAAGAACCTAAGGAGCGGGAATTGGAAATCCTAGATTTTATTCCCAGGTCTGCCGCTAACTCCCATCTCATTCACTTCCACTCTTTGATAAGTGGAGATAATGATACTTCCTACCCACTTCAGAGGGTGTGTGAGAGCTAATGATGTCAGCTCCGTCCCTTTATGATGGTGCTGTGGGAACTGAGTGGAACTCATGACTGTATCCAGATTTGTACAGCAATTTCCCGTCTGAAGCTTTTGCTTTTTCTCCTCTCGTCAACCCAGTATCTCTGTGGAGTAGATAGGGACAAGTAACAATGGCCCCATTTAATTAACAAGGAAATTGAAATACAACTGTCAAGAGGACTGGCCTAGGTAGAGCCACGGCCAGAACTGAGTCTCCTGCATTCTGGAGATTAAGAGAACCGGTTCCAGGACTAGACAGATTGTCACTCAAACCAGACTTTCAGAAAACAGTTTTCTTAACTGTGGCATGGAATATATTTCCCCACCCCCACCCCAGCCTCTCAATATTGCTTTATTTTGTGTGTATGACTGTTTTGCCTGTTCACCACTTGCTCAAGGAGGCCAAAAAAAGGGCACTGGATTTCCTGGAACTGAAATTACAGATGAATGTGAGCCACTATGTGGGTGCTGGTGGGAATCCAATTCAAGTTTTCTGGTGGGACAGCTCTTAACTGCTGAGCCATCCCTCCAGCTCAGGAGTAGAGTTCTTGATAAAGCTAGCTCATGGGGTGATCACTAGTGTCAGATGAAGTCACACTGCATGCCTTGTTAGAACCAGATAAACATTAGGGATAAGTAACTACTACTGTCATATTGACCAGGAGTATCGCTGCCTGGGTATGACTGGTCCCACAGAAGGCACTCTGGATTCTGAGCCAGATGTAGGCTCAGTTTCTGTCTAGCATGTAATCCTAGCCTCGTGGCCGCAGATCAATCACTTCACCTTCAAAGCCTGTGTCCTCTCCTGTCAGGTGAAATTATTACTTTTGAGAGCAACAGACAGATATGTGGGGTCTCAAGCACTGGCATGGTATGTGTTGTGTATCTGTGTTTAGCAAATGCTGTTTGAACCAAGAAAATCTCTTTTCCTTGGGTATTCTGTGTCTTTTTTATTCATTTTCATTGTGAGTCTTTCTTCTTCTCCTTCTCCTTCTCCTCCTCCTCCTCCTCCTCCTCCTCCTCCTCCTCCTCCTCCTCCTTCTTTGTTTTGTTTTGTTTTTTTGTTTTATGAGACAGGGTTTCTCTGGGTAGCCCTGGCTGTCCTGGAACTCACTCTGTAGACCAGGCTGGCCTTGAACTTAGAAATCCGCCTGCCTGGCTTGAATATTTCTTTTGATGTGCCATGTTTTTATTTTTTACTGTTTTAAAAATTTTTTATACAAAGCATTTAGATCTTATTCTAAAGTTCTCTCAGATCCTCCCCAACTTCCTACCCACCCAATTTCATGTTCTTTCTTGAAAAACAAGAAAACAAACAAAAAAGCTGTAGGTTGGACTTATGAGGCCCTTTGGCCGATGACTCAGAAAGATGAAACCCATTCCTGACGCTGAGGCTTTTACTTGGTATATTATATATGATGTCTAGTTGGGTCACTGCATTCCCTATGATATGGTGACTTCATTTAAATCTTTTATATATTGTTAGGAAGCTTCTGGAACAGTAGGTTTTACTGTGGCTTTTCAAAAGTCACCTTTCCCTAGATCCCCCCCACAGTGGTTCGGACCCTCCCACACCAGTTAACAATGAAGGAAAAGTTCCACAGGCATCCCCACAGGGCGCTCTGATGGAGACTAGGCAGGCCTCATTGAGGGTCCCTCCTTTCATGTGTGATAGTTGGTTTTAATGTCAGTTTGCCACAAGTTACAATCACTGGGTAGGGATTTTCACCTGTAGAGTTGTCTCAATTTCCTTAATTGATGTGGGAAGACCCACCCACAGTGCAGCAGCACCTTCTGGTAGCATTCCAGATTTAAAACAAAACAAAAAACAAACAAAAACATCGGCACTGGGAAGATTATTTGCCTTTTGCCCTTATGGGCTTCCCTCTTGCTGCTGAGTTTCCCTGTTGAGGAGGTGGCTGCTGCCGCTGCTGATGATGATTCTTTTGCTGATATCACAGCTAACATTTCCAGGCTTCCGTTGTTGACTGAGGACCAGTGACTCTCCAGAAACTCTGCAGTTTTCAGCACCAGATTGGGACTGCTGAGGCTCCAAGCCTTGTGCACCGAGAGCTCAGCCCCTCGGGTATGAGATCCCTGTTACTGCTTCAATATAAGCTATGTAAGCTGACTTAGTTTCTCTAGATACACTCATATATAAGTGTATGTGATATACATGTTGTATATGTGATATGTATACATATGTGTGTATATGTATATTCATTCCATTGATTCTGTCCCTCCAGAGAACACTGACTAATATAATTTGTGGTACCAGGAATGATTCTGGAGAAACAGAATTACAAGGATGAATTTCTCTAATGGGCTTTGTGGTGTCTGGAGCTGGATCTCCCAATTGGATGAAACCCATGGTTGCTAAAGGCTGTCTTGTAGCATGGAGAGCACTGAAAGGCCATAGTGTGAGCAATTTAAAGAAGTATGCAAGATAAATGCATTCAATGTGCCTGATTCCTCTCTTGTGAGAAGCGAGCATTAGTGACTTTATAGAAAACCTTT